GTCCCTCCTGATGTTGTTGATGACTTTTGAACTCTCTCCCTTCTATCATACAGTGTCTCATAAACTCATGCTTTCAGTTCATTCAAAACTTGTCAAGAACTGTAGTTCAGCACACAAGCTGGACCCAGAAGCAGAGACAATACGCCAAGGTGCACGCAAAATAAACTTTATTTCTAACTAAGCGTGTCCCAGAAGGGTTAAAGGAAAACACGCCGAGTAAATGGGAAACAAAGGGACCGGGAGATAAGCAACTCGGGAACGCCGTAATCAGGACCGTGGGAGGCTGCAACAGAATAAGGAAGAGAGTTACCTGGGAGCGGGGGAATAACAGCATATGCAGGGTAGAGTTATCAATCTTACAATCAGGGCTGGGCCGTGGGAACCGGAGGGAGGGGTTAGGGTCCGCGGGAGAGCTGCAGGGAAACAGAGGAGATGATGACCGGTGGTGATCCGAACTCCAGGCGGGCAGGAGGAGGCTCAAAACATGCCGAACGGTTACCTGAGCACACAATGAAAGGATTAGCGTTGTTCAGAGCAATCAGAGTTTCACAACCACCATCACCTGGGGACCAAGTTACCGCTGAAAGGTGACTAACGGACTGACGTGGAGCAGCTGGCTGAGCGGGGTTAAATAGTCCACCTGATGACCGCCTGGAATGGGATGCAGGTGTAAAGTCGACAGCCACACCCGTGGGTGTGGGCATCCCATAAGCTCCTTGGACACCGGGCCGCGGACCATGACAAAACTTCCTTCCTTTCTCTGCCAGTTTTATACACAGTGTCTATTTCTGCTTGTATTCAGTTGCCAGCTTATCTCTCTGCTGTTCAATCGAGCCGCATCAGTCTTTGTAGCACATCTGTTCAGTATCTGCGGGGAAAATCTCGGTGTGCTCACCTTCGATGCTGGGGTCAGACAAGATATCAGCCTGATAGCAGCTTGATCTGACAGATGTGGGACGTTGCATCAAAAATCTCTCTAGACAACTTACCAGAACCCTTTTTACATAATCCAGGAAAAATACACTCAATCTAAAATACTGCGAGGCTGAACGGGTTCAAACTGAGCTTTTTCAATGTGTTTAGCAGAAAAGCAATATAACAAAAAATGTACATTTATAAAACTTAGATAAAAGAAATTAGCTGGTAATATGCTTTAAGGACTAAAGAAATAAATTCATTCTGATATGAAATGAATTATCATTTAATGTTATACTTTTTCCCCCCATAACTCTGTTAATATATTGGGACCCAGATGAAGAGATAACACTGTGTTAGTACTGTGTTACTATGATTTAAAAAATGAAGAACTGAAAGTCTTTTGTTTTCATTCCCAACAATAAAAAGTTGTGAGAGAGAATCAGTCAGCTTTCTAAAATCATCATATGCACACACATGAACACACACTGGCATTATGAAAATATTGGACCAGAACACCCCTTCAAAGCTCTACCTCCTCCCTGTATCCTGCAAAAACCATAGCCTTGATTATTTTAGTTATGTTTTGAATTTGAGTATATTTATCATGATGCTCAAAAGTATTGACAGCTATTGATTACTGTAAAGTGTCAAATGTGAGCACCAGATTAATGCCGGGTTAGATTTACAATGTTTTATTATTTAGTACTTAGTATTATTAAGAAGCTCTATAAAATGAAAATAAACACTGTTTTCAAATGTTGTATTCATTAGTTCTGATCTGATGATCTGACATAAGATTTTCAAGATGACCGTACCCTAACTGATTCTAATAGATAAAAGCTTTTTGGTGCTCAAATTGGCATGTGAATAAAAGTTAAGCTCCAATTCTGTCTGCTCGCCATTGCACGGAGACTGTATGGACAAAAGCTAAAGGCTACCTAAACATTACACCTATAGGAAGTGCTCAGCCACTGACTGACTGTACAGCTTTTGTGCTGATGTTAATACCAGAGAAAGATGGGAACTGTGTGGTTATTGAGTCAGCAGACCAGCAGCACGTACACACTAATGCTGTGCCGCAGTGTCATGTGGTCTGCCACTTTGTGGCTGATTTGCTGTGGTTCCTTTATCTTCTATTTTGGTAATACCACTTACAGCTGAGAGTGAAATACTCAGAAGCGTGGCCCAATACTTTCATCCACATAGTGTAGACTGTGAAAACCCCAGAGCAGTGATTGAGTTTCAGTGTGTCTAACATTGCCACATTAAACCACAATTTAAATCACAATGAATCAGCATCTAATCTGACATAAATAATCTGATTTCTCTTCTGTATTTCCTTTCAGTTCCATATTCAGAATAAGTGGTTTACTCTCTCAAGTGCCTCAGATGGTGAAACATGTGAAATACTTGTATTTTCTTATTTTCCTTTGTCATCTTCTGTCACTCATTTCATCAAATTTCTGATCAATCAGACTTTCAGAAGAAGCTGCGTAACGAGAACCTGAAAATTTCACTTCACCTGCAAACGGTGTAACCCGACGTGTGGTGATTCTTTCAGTGGAGCAGAGTTTCTCCCGGTTTTGCATGTCCTTGTCCAGACTGGAAGCAGATCTGTCTCTCACTGACTGTCCCTCCCTCGCCTTCATTCCTCTGCCCCCTCTGTCTCTCCTCATCAATATTACCTCCTCTATCCTTCTTTCCTTCCTTCTCTCCTCTCCCAGTGGCTGCACATCGTCCTCGTCGCCTCTCCTTTAAGAGGTTTTCTCTGTTCTCTCGGTTGCCAGGTAAACGCCGGCATGTCTGGGTCCTTTAACACAAAGGACACATGGGTACTGGGTGGATGGGTAGAGCTTGAGTAGAGGGGGGCACTAGCTTTGACTCTGTTGTACATGTTGGGCGAATTGATGCCGGATCACTAAGAGAAGAGAAATTCTCATGGCAGTGCTCTTTGTGGGTTTAAATATTAGATCACAGATAAGACTTTTATATACAGTCCTGTAATTTTTGCTCAGTCCTCACCTGTCCTCACATCACCATTTGATTGCCCAAAGGTGCAGCACGTTGAGGTTTCAGCCCACAGATCAGAAGTACAGCGTTAGCTTTCTTCTCTGTGTGATTCAAGGTGGATTTGCCCTTTAAGGAGAGCAAAGATTTAGAGGTTAACAGCTACTTTTTGGCAAAGAAACTCTTTGATCAACCAAAGCAACCTCAGATCAAACTACATCTGTATTTTATTGTTACAATTTTGGGCAGTAAATGAGCAGGAGGAAAGAAGAAGATGATAAATCAGTGTTTTCTTAATGTAGGCCAGCATTAAGTTAAATTTACTTCATTATAAACAACTTAATCTCTGTTTAAATTAACTTATTTGTAAAAATCCGTTAAATCGTTTTATTTTTTTTCTCTCTCAGCCTGAACGGTGTTGGTTTGTGTTGTTACCACAGCCCACTTTGTGAACTCGAGAATGAGGCAAAGTAGGATTTTTAAATTGATTGAAACCCAGTGAACTCGATGCCCCAGTCAAAAGTCAGGTTTTCTGGTAATCTTGGGAATGCATTAACCGAGGAAGTCATCTTGGATCTTCACATATATTATCATAGGTGAATCTGCTCGGAGGCTAAGGGACAGCACGAGCGACTGCCAGTATTTCTAGAGTGTTATGCATTCATTTAAAAGAAAAAAATGATTTTTTTTTAGTACTCATAGCTTTGTTTAGTCACAGTCACATGTGTAACCAAAATGGCAATAACTTACCTTTTGACAACCTCTACACCAAATATTAGCCATAGCTCATTTTTAACTCCTAAATATCTGAATAGGCTCTGCTTTCAAAAAGCAGCATCAGTTATTTCAATTATATGAAGTGTAAAATAATCCCAAATTGCCTTTATTAGTCTGCGTGGGTTCCCTCCGGGTACTCCGGCTTCCTCCCACCGTCCAAAGACATGCAGTTTGTGGGGATAGGTTAATTGGATAATCCAAATTGCCACTAGGTGTGAATGTGCGAGTGAATGTGAGTGTGAATGGTTGTCTGTCCTTGTGTGTTAGCCCTGCGACAGACTGGCGATCTGTCCAGGGTGTACCCCGCCTCTCGCCCTATGACAGCTGGGATTGGCTCCAGCACCCCCCGCGACCCTGAAAAGGATAAGCGGTAGCAAATGGATGGATAGTCTCAAAAGTGTCTTTAAGGGTGTTTTCAAAAACGTTTTTGGATAGTTTGCTTTAGGCTGTTATCCATGTAAAGTATGTTTAGAGTGTTTAAAACTAGATTGGAGAGACTTGAAGACGGATGATGGAGATGTTGAATATTGTGATTTGGTGGTTAGAGAAAAAGAATGATTTTGGTCTGTACAGTAAGCTAATTTTGCACATTCGTTGATTCATAGTAGCACCGAGGCGATGCAAGTGTGAAATTGGCGTCTGTCGAATTTTTTGAAATAATGAAAGTTGATCAAAGAGTTTATCAACCAGAATGTCAGCACAGATCTTAAACTGGGAGGGAATGCGGGGGGAATAACACGATCACGTGGCATATCTAAAATAAAACTCAGAAGGACGGGACAACATCATGAGATTCACAGAAGGGACATGAATCCCCTCGGGGCTTAAGCTGTCTGCTCTTTGCACACTCTGCTCCTGATAGCTTCAGATGGGGTTGTCTTCTGTTGGCATCGCATGAGTTTTTAAGTATAACTGCTAATGCAATTTAAAAAAGAAAAACACAATGAGCTCCCAAAAGATCAATTCTCTTCATCTGGACGTACTGTTTTCAATGGAGAATGTGGAGCTATTAAGAAGCAGCATGTGAGCCTTTTAATTCAGCTCTTTTTGTTGTCCTTGACCTGACGATGTCACGAAAACACTCGTTTCAAATTGACTAAATAATATTAATAGCTGTAATAGACTGTAGTGTTTTTAAAGCACAGTAAGAAAAAAAAATTAAAATGGGTGTATGGTGATTGTTATTTAGAATTTGGTCCAATCACTTGTCTGCCTTACTGTTAAAAGCACCGATTGACTGTGCGAGCACTACTTCACAGGTAGAGGGTAGTTCTTTTAAAATTTTCAGTTTTGTTCTCAAAGATCCAGTAGGAGACTTTTTGGGGGGTTTGACACAGTGACCAGATCTCACAATAAGGTTTAAAACTTATGTTTTTAGTACACGTGGGCACAGTTTTATAACATCAAAGCATCATTAATAACTCAATCCAGACTAAAGAGTGGCTCTGTTCATCCTACCACTGAGCACATTTTGAACACAGTAAGTCAAGAAAAAGGTTAAAAATGACACTTACTTATGTCATTAAATGAGTAATAATGAGTAGAGAGATATCCCTGCCCCCACACCTCTGAAATGGTTGTAAAACTATGTATGTGCTAGGCAAACAGCATGATTGGTTCATACTTTTCCCATTTAGGCTTTCAATTGTGTCTTTCCAGGGAGGGCCGGGGTATCGCTATCTTTAACACTTGCGTTTTTAGCTAGCAGAGAGCATATGTATGGGGGAGAAACTTATGACCTCATTAAACACTTTCCTTATGAGCTTCCTGTTTCATTTTCAAGTGTAATTTTATACATTAAGATGACTTTTAGAAAAAAACCATCATGATGTATTTAGAAAAAATTAGACAATAAAGCCGGATATGCTTTATCATTCCTCTCCCTTGAGATAATCAGATCCACTCCTTCATTGTTACATGACAGTTTCACAGAACTAAGATGATGCAAGTTGAGAATTCATAATTCTCACAGATCAATGGGATAATGTCTTTTTTTTTTTATAAGGTACTTTTATATGTAAAGAAAGATTTGAAATTAAATAGGGTGCTAACTTGTGAGTGGTTGAGTGTCGTTTTCAGTTGTGGCTGCATAATAAGTTGACAGGATACAACTAAAGAAAGGTTCCCTACTGGATCTTAAAATGATTATTTTAGACAATTATTGTTTCCTGATGAAGTGACATCTAACCACTAACTTAAAAAGTAGCCATAGACAACCAGGATTAACTTTAGAGCTTAATTTCTTGAAAGCTAACACACTTGACATGTCTAGGTAAAACCGTTTCCTATGACTCACTGAGGCCCCCTACTGGAAGACTCACGCCAACTGGTAATAACACACATCTGGTAATGAGCTTGCGTGTGAAGCGCGTGTGTGACACATCCAGGAGTATCATCAGCTGGATGACGTCCGTGAATGTCATCATTGTGATTACACTATGAGTGAGCAGAGGGTGAACATAACAAGTCTGAGGGAAGTGGGAGGTGCATGCTGCATGTTATGGCCATCTAGAGCTAAAATGAGCTGAACTAATGGCTAAGCTGTACTGGTTACATTATGATTGTTATCATGTGTCACTTTATAGAGTTCCATGGAGGTTATTGTATGTAACTCTATACGTCATATGCTCTTGAGTTGAAGTAATGTGTCATTTAATCCATTAGTTTATTATTGATTAGCTCTGACTGGGAGTATTTTATGTTTTTCTCAGTTTTATTTCATTCTAAGTCAAATCTTTTACATTTTTCAATAGGACTTAAATTTCTGTGACTCTCAACCAGTTGCTCTTAGAACTGAAGAAGCTTCTTGGGTGAACTGTCTTCAACAAAATTAAAGAAGTCCAGTCATTTTTTTTTAATATGTCACACAGAAATATTAATTATTCTAAACACAGAAACCTTTCTTCTATCAAAAATTGAATGTGGGAAAGTTTTGTCCAGGAAATTTCCACCTGGAAAGTTTTACAATTGTTGACTAACCAATGAACAGTAAAATTTGAGGTTTTCAGCAGTTTGTTGTGAGTTATCACTTGAAAATGTGACACATATTTAAACATTGACTCACACTTCTGTTTAACAGATTACAGCGTCAAATATTGCTTTCAGCTCTCTTAATAAGTCCTTAATAAGTTTGATGGTGCTCTTGGAAAACTTTTAGATGTTGTTGGCTTTGAGCACAGCAGGATGCACGTCTTTGCTTCGGTGCTTAGAGTGGATTAAATACCTAAATATTAACTACCTTTTTTCTCCTTTACTTTCATAGGTTTAACTTTATTTCTGTTTAGGTGTTACTGCTGCTATTGCTGTGCATCCATTACACATTGTGTGTCAGTAATCACTCTCACTCGTTAATTATTCTTTATATTAACCTGCATTTGAAGCTACACTGCATCTTGTGCCTCTGAGGTCTCCACCATCAAAGGCTTTGAAACAGTAACATCAAGCCCAACCAACGGCATGGTTGGCCCGATAGGTGTTTATCACACAACCCTGTCTTTAAATGCGTAACAGGACCTGGTGCTATTAAACTTTCCTGCATGTGTGTGGGTGTTTGCAGAGTTTCGTTCACCATCCCATATCAGCGGCTTGAACCGAACAGCCTCGATGAGTGGAGCCGACCGGATGGAGTCACTTTCGGTCAGCGGCAGCAACAGTCAGCTCAACAACAGCATCCCCATGCAGCAGTACATACCAGACTTCTACGTCCGAGCCCTCACTGACCTACAGTTTGCCAAGGTTGTTTTTTGTGTTTTTTTTCTTACCTCCAAATTAACAATCAAGGCCTTTTGTCACCACATAATCTTTCTCCAGGGACTAGAAACCTTTAGGGGAAGTCTTTCCGCCATAAGGACCAGAGTCTAAATTATGTTTTAGAATTCCATTTTTAACTTTTTAACCAGTTCATGGGGAGTGGGTGGAGTGGGTTTGAACAAGCCTTTCCAAAGTTCATGCAGGATTTATGTTCCTGTGTTGGTTACTATCTTTGGCTATCTAAATAGTGGTCATTCAACCAATGCAGTAGCTTCAGAACATGATGGTGCTATGAATTGTTATCTCTGTGAAGGTTCTCAGTCATCCAGGTCATCGTAATCTAAGGAGCTTGGAAAGAAAAGCGTCTGGACTTCTTTGAGTTGCTTGAAGATGTTTCACCTCTCATCCGAGAAGCTTCTTCAGTTCTAGGGTCAAATGGTGGAGAGTCCCAAAACTCTTAAACACAAACTTAACAATGTGGTGTATGCTGTACAGTGCAGTGAGGAATGCCCAGACCTCTACATTGGAGAGACCAAACAGCCACTTCATAAACGTATGGCACAACATAGAAGAGCCACCTCCACGGGACAAGACTCGGCAGTCCATCTGCATCTTAAGGATAAAGGACACTCTTTCGAGGATGCCAGTGTTCATATTTTGGACAGAGAAGACAGATGGTTTGAAAGAGGAGTGAAAGAAGCCATTTATGTCCACTGTGAGCGACCATCTTTGAACAGAGGCGGTGGCTTACGACACCAACTGTCTGCCATCTATAATCCAGTTTTGATATCCCTTCCCTGACGCCTTAACGCCCACTCACATCCTGGGCCATCTGACCTCAGGAAATCACGTGATAGGGTGGGGCCAGTTTTCACAATGAGCTCACCTGAAACCCTGGCTGATTGTGACCCACACCCAGTTTCACACCTTGGCTCATGTGATTAGTTAGAGGATCATTAGGGGGTCCATTGTTCCTCTCGGTGGGTCACTCCCACAGAGCTTAAATCTGGGACTCTCCACCATTTGACCTTAGAACTGAAGAAGCTTCTCGGATGAGAGGTGAAACGTTTTCATGCAACTTAAAGAAGTCCAGGTGATTTTCTTTCCAAGCTCCTTAGACTATGAATTGTTATCATTCTTACTGGGTGAAAAGCTTGCTGAACAAGAAAAGGGGTTGAAGAGGAAGAAATGCATCAAAATAATATATTAGAAGCAAAGACCGTAACCGCAGTGGACACTTTTAACGGTTGGTTTCGCATCACTGCAAAGAAATATATCATAAATATTTTCTTCTCTGCAGAACAGACCAAGCTAAAGGACCTACACCAATACAGTGAATGAAATGAGCTTATGTTACCAGTTTTTCTGGAGATTTGTGACACTGGTGACGGTAAACAGCTACAATATGTAGACATGGGTCTATGAAGTTCTCAAAAGTGTAGGAGCTCTGGGAACTAGTGCTACAAATAGTTCTGATTTTTATATCAGGTGGCATTTAAAATAAAAATAAGGCTTTGACCTATCAGCGAAGCATTGCACTTGATTTACACTCGCCATTATTGCCTTCACAAACAGATGTGCATGCAAGAAGTGACATCACAGCTGCTGGAATGGTCTCTTTGGTGTCGTTTTTTACTACTTTTACTTCTCATGCTCCTCTCAGTTCTGATTACCTGGTGCAACCGACACAAATGCATGATTGTGTGGGTCTTTACCAGCATTTCAATGGAGTTCAGAGATTCCCAGTTGATACAGATGGATTTGAGAGTGCAGCTTTCTTTGCAGAAGACTCCAGCAAGTGTGGTGAACGATGGCAGTGCTGTGGTGATGTCCCACAATCAATATAGTGATAGGGGAAAAGTCTAACAGATGGACTGACCAGAAACATACATTTCCTTGCAGCGTCAGGAAAAAACATTTCATCACACGCAGCAAACAAAGGGAATGATTCACTTTAGCCTCTTTGTCAGTAAAGAAGTACAGAGTTTCCTGGATAAATCACACAGTTACCTGTACTATCCTTACATTGATCCAGTTAGACATCACAGTGACGTTATCCAATTTCTCGTAAAGTCAGACAGAAATTCTGTTTAAAATGCAGGCACACCTTTGGTCTTTAAAATTGAAATTTCCAGGACATACAGTTCTGAAAAGTTCTGTTGGCATGCAGTTTTAAAAGTACTCAGTAACTGCTAGAAATACAACTGTGCAGGTGTTTGCTAACATATTAAGAATGATAACAATTCTCATTATCCCTCATTTTTTTTCAGATCACACGAGCTCAGTACCAGAACGGCCTGATGGCATCTCGCCTGGACAGCACGCCGCAGTCCCCCGAGAGCAGCCACAACACTATTCGTATGGATCAGACGCCTCCCACCACCATCGGTAACACCACCATTACGGACCTGGGAGCAGACTCCACCCCTACGGAGAACGGCCCGGACGAGACGACGCTTCTCCTCCTCAATGAGCAGAACTCGCCACACACAGGCAACCACCACAGCCAGGTGGAGAACAGAATCTGACAGCCTCCACTGGTACCAGCCCTCCATACTCCTACATTGGCCCACGTGCACTACTACGCCCGGTTGTATGCCGAGGAGGGGAGGATTGTGTGTGTGAGTGTGCGTGTTTGTGTGAGTGGGAATGCAGGCACAAGCTGATGAGGCCCAAAGAGTCAAGCCACGTTCATACTGTGTAAATATGCAAAGATTAAACACACACACACAATCGCGCACACACAGAGCAAACACACACTGATGAGCCAAAACATTTTGACTGTGCTTAGAGGATGAACAGGATATTTACGGCCATAATGTTTGGGCTCATCGGTGTACACACACATACCAAAGTCTCCACACCTCTACCGATCGATGGAACTAGTATCGCGTCAGTGTTTGCACATGCCTCTTGATCTGAAGGACCTGTTTGTCTGGACCAGAAAGCTCCTCCATTTCTCGTTCAGAGGTGTTACCGATTATTTAAGTGTGTGTGGTGTAGTGTGTGTGAGAAAGAGTGTGCGTTGCTTCTAAACCACTGTCCCTAATCAGAGACTCAGGGAGACTCCGCCCTCCTCCTCATTTCCGGATGTACGTAAAAGCAAGTGTGGTCGAAAGCCCCAAACCAGCCCATCGCCGCATGTGTAGCAACCTGCATCCCCCTCCTCCATACAGCTAGAGGACAAAGACGACCCGAGCATGTCTGCGGAGTTCACACAAAGTAATACGTGTACCATAGAAATTTATAGTGAGATATTTATTGGGGGGATATTGTGGTTAAATGAGGATGGGGATGGGGTGGATTTCTATCTATAGAGATATATTTTCTCTTCCTTGTTTCCTGCATAGAAACAGCTGGTAGCCCAGAGCCTTTATCCCAGAGTTGTTAAGAGATTTGCCGCTGATAGACCACCAGTCTGTATTGTGAACAAGACAATCAACATGAATATTTTGAATGTGTTAAATTAAATATGTAGGGTACGTTAACTGTGGCTGCCCTGCTCTCCAAATGCCATATCTGTGTCACCTTTAATTCTGTTCCTCTGAGGACAGACGTGGAGTTTCTAGATGGGTTGCAGAGACGAAGGCGTTCGAGAGCAAAGAATCCTTTCCTACTTTTTTTGGGGGTTTTTTTGTTTTGTTTTGTTTCTAAAGACGATGGGTAGTCTGTGTCTGTGCGTGAGTTTGCGTGTACGAGACCAAAGCTGGCCATCATCTGACTTGTTGGGAGCAGAAACCAAAAGTGAGAAGCTTGATCACCTCCTGACTGGAAAATACTTTAAGAAATCTGAGAGTTTATTTATTGAGTTTAATGTCTGTGTATGCGTGTATATATTCTTGTTGATTTGAAGGGGAGAAAATGCAATTTTATTTCACCGTTTTGGGAGATTTTACATGTTAAAATGTTTCTTTCCATTCAGTGATTATGTTCGGGTTTGCTTTTTGTTTTTAATGTAGGAAAAGGGGGTCACTCTAACATAGTTTTTGTATTTGTGTCTCCAAATGCAACATTAGCCACATTCTGTCCGGTTTTTTTGTTTGTTTGTGTGTTTGTTTGTTTTTTGGTTATATTTTACCAGTTATATTTTACTGTACGCTCAGACAACGTCTTAAAGAAGAATCTGAAAATCTGTTTTCTGGTGGATTTTTCTTTCCCTGAACTCTAACAGGAGCACAGCCGTGTTTCGTGGGTATTTCTTTATTTTGTGATACTCTGCTGCTTTTAAGACACCCGTTGTAGAATTTTATTTACACACTAACAACTACATGTAACAGATGTTCACTTTTTGGTACTTTTTATTAGGCTATACTTAAAAGATGGTCATAGCCTTTAGGTTTGAAACACAAGCCCAATGTGGAAGTGCCTTAATCCTGTGTTCTTTCTAATGGCCAGCAGGGGTGACTTCTCTGGTTGCAAAGAAAATGTAATTATATAAAAGTTTATGAGGAAATAAATCTACTTTAAGACCACAGCAAAAAGGTTCCTTTTGAGTTTGCAGTCTGAATTGCAAGTTTTTTATTTAGTATAATTTGATGTTTGTTTAGTAAAACAAGGTCCCAATTAGAGTAAAATTGTGAATGCTTTAGCTCATGGCTGTCTTTTGATAAACAGGTTGGCAGTCCTTGGGCTCGCAGTTCCTCCAGTTGTCAACAGTAAAAATAAATGCACAACTTCATTGAAGATGAAGATGATATAAAGTTTATGGTTGCACCGCCTTTACTTTTTCTGTCATCTTTGAGTAGCAAAGATTTTTTACAAGCAACAAGTTTCCAGCTTTGCTCTAAAAGATGTGACCAAGTCTTCTGGGATATGCAGGACACCAGGAGTATGATACGAAGCAAGCGAAAGGAAAGATGATCACAAGCTGGTGTTAAAAAAATTGATTTTTCCTTTTATTGTTGCGGTTTTTGAGATCGGGAGCATTAACATAACACCCAGCAGCAAAAATGATTTTGAAATTTGAAGAAATTAGTATTACTACATCTACTACTACTTGTTTTCTGGATGGGGAAATCTGAAACCAAAAGCATTTCCGTTATTGTGGATTTTCCTATCTTGTTGAAGTGAGATGTCAATGAAAGTGAGTTTCAGCAGTGGTGGGAAAGGCCAGAGAGGTCAGTACATTTCCAAAACTTCAGCAAGTGCAACACATGATTAGAATTTTAGTGTTTTTAGAAAATAAACATTTTTGACGTAGTTACATGTAGTTGACTTAATGTTGTTTCACAAATTATTATTATTTTATTTCTTTCACCAAATACAAAAGTGATCCTCTAACATTTCAATGTTAGATGATGCATTTTATGTCTCAGTTGGCAAACCTACAACTTTTTGCACCAAACCAGGTGCTTTGTGAGTGTGACTTGTATATTTGAATCATTTATTTGGCAGGTTTAATTGCATGTTACTGCCTACCAAAGACTAAAGTTACAGCACTGATGCTGCTTATAAAGAGGCTGTGGCTGTTGGCTGGCATCTTCTGTGCAAATATTGCAGCTAAACAGTTTTGGGGAAATGCATTTCAAGCAGGCTGTGAATGTATTTGAGCACATGGAAATATATTTAGAAGGAAAAAAAGTGCTGCTTGAATGAGATTTTTCATCTTTTTTTCACACTTAAAATGCCACTAGATAACGCTAATGGGAAAGATTGTCAATAAATGGTAACCGAAGTCATCTATTTAATTATTCATAAATCAATCAACTATCCAGGTTAGTTGACACCAATTTGAATCAAATATTGAAAGAAAACCAGCAGCCTCTCCAACGCTTTAATGACAAGCCCCAGTGAGTAAACACTAGTTCTACTTTTGAATCTGCATTAGCTTCATGTGCTCATGTTTTACTCCGTTTCCAAGAAATGTTTGTATTTCTTGTCTTTTAAGCAACAAGTAAGAATTTTGCAAGTGACAAAGATTCAAAGAGTCCATGGTTTTTGTGGTCTAAAAACAGAAGCAGCACACAACACACAGTTGTGTCACAATGCTGCTGGTAACCCAAATTTCATAATCATATTATCACTGACTTCATCAAGTGACTGCAATAATTTCACTCCCCGTCCACACAGAAGCTTTCTCACTTTCTCACTGCTGTGTTGGCTTCACTACTTTTTAATGACTGTACTTTTTTGTGTGTTCATTCCTGTTTTTCTTTTTCCTTGTTTTTTACTTAAAACACCACAGAGACACACGCAAACACACACTCCTATTTCAAAGGACTGTATTTTTTTCCATGTTCATGTTGGAGTGGCCCCCCATCCCACACCCCCTGCTTTAAATTGTTCTGGGTTTGGGTTTATTATGGTGCACGTGAATGTGTTTGTCAGTGCCTATATAATGTGTGTGTGTGTGGGGGGGAGGGTTGTTTTGTTTTTTTGTACCTCAGAACACTGTTAGTGATTGTGGTAATAACTTTTTTTTTTTTTGTCTCGAGTTAAATTTGGGAACAGAGCGAATGGAGCGACTGGCATTTGGGGAAAAATACTGATTGTCCTTCATTCTCTCTGGCATGCTTTAACTTAAATATAAATAGACACAAGGTGTAAATACTGTTTTATAATTTCTGTCTTAATGAGTTTTGAAAATGAAGAAAGTTATTAATAAACCTGAGATATATTTCTCTACAGAGCTTTGTGATTGCCTTGTTTTGTTTCTGGGGCTGATCTGACATTTTTTTCCCACACATACAATACTACGCTTTTTAGTCCTCTATAATGTTTAAAGCTATAAATATATTTAATGCAAATCTAATTTTTCACCACTGACTCACAGATTTTACTTCTCGTTTTTGATAAAAACAAAACATTGCCTCAGCAATCAAAAACATATTCCTCTAGCTCAGAGGTTCCCAAAGTGTAGGGCCATGTATGGCGCAGAGCCATTGCAGGAGGGGCGCAGTATGGGGGGGGGGAAAAAAAAAAAAAAAGAAAATGAATACTTGGACACTGCTAGCATAATTGACAGGTTTTTGACGGGGCTCCCATGCAAACGCAAAGCAGGATATGAAGCATCGCCAAATATGTTTCCAAACCAACTTCATTCTAAGCCAAAGACAAGAAAATATGGTGAAGCTTATCTTCCCTTTGGCTTCACCTGCACAAGTGTCAAGGCAGGTCTCCCCTGCAGAACTGGTTTTCCCTTCGTCGGGAGCAGCGCTGGGCTCTCCAAATAACAAACAGAATCCCACATTCTTGATTTTTAGTTCACAAACACTTCTTGGCTAACTACTCCTGACATTTTGGAGATGTTTGCTCTTTATACAGGAAAGTTACAGCGGGATACAAATAATATCAGGCTGATCCTGCCACAATTTTTTCCCCCTGTCCAAATCACGGACAAACAGTATCCCACAGTTGTTTATGTTTTTAAACCCATTTTGCACAGAGAGGCATTTTTTGAAAAATTGTATTGATAGCAATGTTGAATATTAGTTATTAGCCATGAACCATGAAACAATTGGAAGAAAATTCTATTTTTGGAACCTTTTGATCTAATCCAAAAAATAAATAAATCTGAAATTGCATAAAGAAGTTCACATTTGTATCGTATTTACTACATCAGGCATTTATTATTTAAAATGCATTGTGCATTATGTTTAATTTAATTTTTTCAGGGGGAAGAAATCAAACTGATGATGTAGAAGTCTTAAAAACCTGCATTTCAAAAATGATACACTTGGTTTTGAATGGTTGAATTTAAATGGTTAGGATATGCTGCATAATTTTTACAATAATTGTGTGTGTGTGAGTGACAAATAAAATTTGAATTTGAATTTGAATTCCAACTAGTTTTCAGAGTTTTCAGAAGCACAAGTCTGGATTTATCACATCTGCATCTGTAGATGTGATAAATGGGGAAGAGTAGAAACGCGAAGAGAAGAATAAAACCAAAGAGCCCTTTGTGGTATTGGTCACCATGTTTTTTTCTTCTGACTTGGTAAGAAATTAAATGATCATTCGTTGAAGCCACAATAACGCTCAAAAAAATCATTCTTTTCCATCACAAACAAACTTAGACTTTGGTTAGAGTAAAATGCAACTAAAAAAATGTAAAAACAAAGATTTACTTTAATAATTAATCATTTTACATGAGTGAAACTCCACTTTATGCCAATGTAAATACATTTAACTACACAATCCTTGATTGTGTTTCTTAGCCTTTTGTGTGACACCCCTGCAATTGCCCCCATGGTGATCAATCTGTAGAGAAACAAAATGAGACAGAAAGACACACACCAGGCTGTCAGGAGGTTATTAATTTATACAGAGTGGCCTACTGTTCCCTCTCACTCCCAACTTTATTCAAGTGTTCAGCTGGAAAAAACTGGTTCTCCCCAGTTCGCTGTTTATTGCTTGTAGCCGCGTCACTCTCAACGGCAACACTTCAGCGTCTCACCACATGCCAAAACATTCCCCTTTGATGGATGCTGTTCGCTTTGGATGTACCCATACACACCTGATTCACCCAGGCTATGGTGCGTGCATACACACACACATTCTCGTTTTGCTATCTTAGTGAGGACATCTAATTGACCATAACATAATTGGAACCCTGACACTAAAACCAAATTTTCAATTTAAAAATGCCTTCAAGCTCGTGGGGACAGGCACTTTTGTCCTCATAAGTGACTGTTGGTCTTCAAGATGATCAGTGATATTTTCAGGTCAGAGCTTTTAATGTTGTGGCTAACCGGTATTGATGAAAGCATACATTTTCCCTTTCTTTTAAACGACCAATAGAATTACACTAAAACTATACTGAATTGGTGTCTAATGTCTTTTAAACGTAACCTTGTTAGGTCAAATCATCCACTCGGGTTTTGTTCTGGTATTCTTAAGTTTCCTAGGAGGCTAATTGCTTTGTGGTGAGCCTGTTGAGGCTTGAAATTTTCCTCTTCCGTGTAGTTCACCAGTCATCTGTTGTACACAAGCACTTCATTTTAATGATTATCTGATGTTTCCTGTTGCACCGGTAGTGGGAGAAAAATTTCCCTTAGGGTAAGGCTTTGGAAAGGCAGCGATGAAGAAAGGTTTCAGCTGATGAATGAGTCAACCTACTTTTAATTCCTGTGTGAAAACTTAAAGTCAAGAAATTGAGGTTAAATTTGTTGGAGCATTAAAAAGAGCCCAAGAGGGTCTTACAACTAAAGTCTGATGTTGTCAATTCTAATGAAGATGCAGTCACTTTGGAAAAGCTTCTTTTGTTTTAAACTTGATTCATTTGCATAAACACTGATAGGACTTTTTTTTGAATTTTATATTGTCATTTTTGCAACATTACTTGGTATTGCTACAATGGAAATATATTAATAAAGTAGTTGGAGCTGTGTCACCTCGAACACTATTTAAGTAGATTACGTACAGTGGCTGTAGACTAGATTTTACTGGAAGTTGCTTTTATCTTTTTCTTTCCTCCTTCCTTGTTGATGATTCTCAGAAGTTGTCTAATACAAGAGAGTATCAGCTGAATCTGATACTGAAGCATGGATTACACACTTGTCTATACTGTCCATTATTTGTTATTGCTAGAGCATGGTGTATTATATAGGAATGATGTGAATCAGTTGTGAAGGAAGTAGAAGGCGGATTGAATTTCAAACCGAAAAAATTCCAAAGCTACTGGCTGTGTCAACACCAGGGATTTTAATTGTGAAAATAGCCTAAGGGAATAATGTGATCTTGTATAATAGAAACAGTATCAGGTCTGATACATCACCTAGACCTGCTATTAGAAGGTGGAGAAAGGAGAGGAGTAATGATAGCTACGGGGCCAACCTCATCATATTGTCATTAGCCGTAGTGTGCCAAGAGAGATTTCCGGATGATTGCAGTTTCACTGTGATGCAATCCAACCCTGTGTTGCAGTCAAACTCAACTGGCTATATCTGGTGTTCTCAGGAAGAGTCTGTGACCAAAAAAGGAGTTTGTGTTGGAATGTAACAACATGTGTAAACACACCTGTTGCCCTATGTAGTTTGAATTATCACTGATAATAAATTACCAGCAGTCTAAATACTTTATATGTTGTCTAGGAGTTAATTTAACAATACCCTACACCAGGGGTGTCAAACATAAGGCCCGGGGGCCAGAATCAGCAGAGCAAACATTCCAGTCCGACTCATTGGAAATGCTGTGGAAAATGTAAAGGATTGCATAGATTTTGCACTTTTTACTATATTTTAATACATTTCACAGCTTAGAGTGGCTGGAGGGCCAGTCTAGTGATCAAATAGCAAAATTTAAAAAAAAAAAAAATTTTATGAAAATGTCGTGTTTTTTAAACTACTCTGCCACAGAGGCTTATAGTGTTTACCGACACAGCAATGCTGTTGAACAACCTCTTTTTTTGGACATCAGGAACATCAACAACTAATAACATGCAATCTTTTGGAAATTGCTCTTGGGTGAATGGCTTTCCTGCTTTGGCAATTGATTCACTAACTGCATAACTTCCATCAACAGCAGCATCAGTGTCCTTAATGGCTTTGTGGAAAAGTTCTTGTTTCTTCCTTTTGGTAGCTGCTCAGCTAGTTTTTTCCTGTCATTGATTATATTCCTTCAGTATGGCAAGTTACACATAAGGCAGCTCGCACTTTCACCAAACTGCAATGTCCATCTTTCTTGAAATATCTGGTCTTGGTCTGTCTGACATGTCTGATTTTGCTGCTGCCTACTTTGATGACATAGTCATTTTCAGTTCTACCTGGGAAGAACGCCTGCAATACCTGGAGAAGGTATTGGCGCGTCTTCAGTCTGCAGCATTGCCTGTAAATCCAGCTAAGTGTAACATTGCCAAGGCTGAAACTGAGTACCTTGGGTTTGTGATTGAAAATGGAGTGAGAAAACCTCAAGTCAATAAAGTCACCGCCATAGAATCCTGTCCCTTGCAAGAGACCAGAAAACAGCTGAGATCATTTTTGGGTATGGCAGGATTCTGTCACCGGTTTATCCATCATTACTCTGCCGGGGCAGCTCTTCTGACAGCTCTGACTGGTTCCTGAAGTCCCAATAGGATCCACTGGATGGAGGAGGCTTTTCAGGACCTACGACAATCTCTGAATAAGATAAGATTTACTTTACCAAATTGACCATCCCAGCCTTGCCGTAATGGTCTATTTGATTCACCTTTTATTGTTTATTTTATTTTTTTATTTTCACTTGCTGAATACGGGACAGACTTGACATGAGGAAAGAAAAGGGAGAAAGAAGAGGGGAAAACAGCGGAGAAGAGGGGATAAAGGCAAAACAAAAACCAACTAAATAAGCAGACAAAAAAAAAACATATATCAATCACCTGGATCACCTGCTTGAGAAAGAAAAAAGAAAACAAGCAGAAGAGAAAGAGTAATAGAATAAACAACATCACAATGATATATGGGAATATGACAGTAAATACTAAATATTAAACATTATTGTGCAGCACATAAGATCAACAGAACACAGTGTGCTTTGAGGTAGGAGCCAAAAAGGGTGTAGTTTGTGGGTGTGATCACCCGTGTGTACACCTGTGAGCATGGACGCTTGTTTTTAAAAGGTTCCTTCATGTAATGATCTGCTAGAGGGTGTGGGGGGGCCACAGCCCCGTCCTCCAGGGCATGAAGCAGGTATGGAGGAGATCAAAACTCCAGACATCCAGAGGCCCCCAGAACACAAGAGACCAAGGAAGACCAACAGAGGGGCAGCCGCGCCACTGTCCCAGAAAGAGCTGAGGAGAGTCCCAGATGAGGGCTCACTCAGCAGCCGCGGAGCAGAAGCCAGGGGGAGTTGCAGTGACGCGCCCGTGAGCTCCGCCGGCAGCCAGCCGTGCCTGAGTGACCGAGCCCCAGGCCGAGAGGCCGGGGGCACCCCACCTCCGAAGTGGCCCGAGCAAGCCCCAGGCTCCAGGCCCCGATAAGCGGCCGCCAAGGAGTGAGCCGGTGTGTACCTGGACGCCCATCCCCGGACACAAAGAACCACCAACGCACCGTCTGAGGGCGTTTGCCACCGGCAGGGGAAGTGAGGGGGTAGATAGGCAAAAAAAACCTCTTAATACTCCAAAGAAACACATGACAAGCAACAGGGTTGGGTAACGGGTGAGAGACAGTGCATCCGGGCCTGCAGCATAAGCGCTGGTCTCCTTGATCCACCGTCAGCATCGCAAGGGAATAAGCGTCGAAGGCGTTTGGAGGGGGAGGGGGGATGAGTGTACATCAGCATGTGTATATATATATGTCTGTGTGTGTGTGTGTATATGTCCAGAGTTCAGCTGAGACAGTGTCCTTCGCCCTGCCAGGCTAAGTAAACAGTCTTCCAGTCAATCCAGGTGGCCTTGCATAGAACAGGGAGGAACAGTCTAAACACAGAGCCCAGTCTTGCACAGCCCTGATTTTGAGAGACATTTCACTCTTCAGACGAAGCCTCCGAGAGAAGTTTGTGAGCTGTTCTGTTACAGGGACCGCTTGGAGAACGTCATCCAGTGGCCTTCATCAGCCGCAAGCTGTTTCTGAGGGAAGTACGATACTCAACCATCGAGAAGGAGGCACTGGCCATTAAAATGGGCCCTGGACTCCTTTAGGTATTATCTTCTGGGACAGAAGTTTGTATTGGAAACAAACCACAATGGATAGAGAAGATGAAGGACACAAACGGAAGGATCACGCGATGGTACCTTGCGATCCAGCAATTCCGATTCACCATCAACCACATTCCCAACAAGCATAAATGCACTGCAGACTGTCTCTCTCGCAGTCCCAGTGAGACAAGAGGGGGAGTGTGTGATGGCTGCAGTGACAGCCACACAGTGGTAATATCCACTAAGTATTAGTGTAGAGGCTTATACATAACACAACATTCACATTTTTTCTTTCTTTAAATATAGGATTTAATTCACAGGATAATAAATGACTGGTTTTGGTTTAGAATTAATTCACATACTCGCATAACACTGTATTCTAAAATATGTGTGCACGTTTTAGTTTATACTGTTATCAGAAATAACAAATATATTCAAAATAATCACTCCAGCTGTTAACACATTTTTTAAAAGAAAAGAAATTTTAAAAATTAGAAAGAATGAAGGCAGAAAGAGGCAAGAAAGCTGATTCAGCAGCCAAATGAAAGGCCAAAGACACAAACAACGTAAGACAACTGAACTGTATCATCCCATTTCCTGCAAATGTTTGTGAAGACAATGTTTGTTTCTGTCCTGATGCGTGGTTTTCAGAAGAGAGAACTGAAATTTTAGGGCGCAGGAGGAAACAGACAGAACAGAAAACGGTCAATAAGTCAAACCAAAAAAAAACCACCTGGTAGAAGTTTGAGGCGCAGTACAGCGAGCTAAACGGACTCTATGAAAAAGACCAAAGAGAAGACAGGACTATACCTTATAAACACACTGAGTCAGTGGGGATGAGATGCAAGACACAACTTCTACAGTGGAGTGGGGAAACAGCCAAACTGCACATGCTAAACAGTATAAAGAAGACTCACACTAAACATAGCAGAGATAAAAAGGACAGTGGGACGCGTTGAGTAATAAAAGGATCAAAAACACATATTAAACAGATAAAACTACAGTTTTATGTGAAATTTAAACTGTTTTCAGCAAATCCATGCAT